GTTCTGAGCTTCCAGCTCCCCAGCTACTCCGCGTACTACAGTTGTACCACAAAGTCGCCAGTGCTCATCTCCCAGCTCCCCAGATACTCCACGCCTCTGGCCCGCATTTCGCGCACTCGACACGCACGATCTCCGCAGAGGGTTGCGCGGGCAGCCGGCAAATCCCCCTCTCGCCTGCATTTCGCGCACTCGACACGCACGATCTCCGCAGACGGTTGCGCGGGCAGCCAGCAAATCGCACTCTCGCCTGCATTTCGCCCACTCGACACGCACGCTCTCCGCAGAGGGTCGCGCGCGGACCGGACAAATCGCACTCTCGCCTGCATTTCGCGCACTCGACACGCACGATCTCCGCAGAGGGTTGCGCGGGCACCCGGCACATCGCACTCTCACCTGCATTTCGCGCACTCCACACGCACGATCTCCGCAGAGGGTTGCACTTTCGGTTGACGCTGTTCGTCCCACCCTCCGCCTTTAAGAGAGAATTTATAAAGTGGGGAAATGTTTTTTCATTAGGACATCTCCCGTGCTAGTTCACTTGCCTACTCATTGCATGCTTGCATACTCATTGCATGCATACTCATCATTGCATGCATACTCATCACTTGCATACTTTGACAGCTTTCGCTCTTCCACTTACACAGGGCTACGTATAGCGTTCATGTTATTTATCCTGCCAGTGTGGTGAAAGTGTCAATGTCTAGGTGTGTCTAAGTGTAAGTGTCGAAGTGTCAGTGTTCAAAGGATTTTCCGGAAGAACCCTTCGCAATGCTTTCGGGAATATACAGTAAGTCTTTGGGTTGTGAACTTACTGAACAACTCCAAACTAACAATTCCGCATCGAAACACCACACTTTGGATGGCAATTGACGGTGCTTTCTTTCGACTCTTGATTCTTAATCGGCCCTACATGATGTATGTGAACAGGAACCTTGTTGAGGAGGTAACCAAGATCCAATTTGATGACGGACAAGTTGTGCACCACCAGAGGTACACTTGGAAGTCTCTAGCTCCATTGACTGCCCATGGAACCACCTGTCTCGGGAGGAATCCCAGGTGGCGTTCCAGATCGCGACAGGTTGCGACTGTCTATCAACTGTTTAACCTTTCAATTCGGGGTGAGACATGAGGTTTCCTCGACCCAGGCACACTGAGCCCTGTGAGAGTTCCAGCAGCAAAGGCGTACAACAATGATGACAATGAGGATGACGATGACGACGAGGACGAGGACGATGACGATGACAATGACGACGAGGATGAGGATGAGGATGAGGATGAGGATGAGGATGAGGATGAGGA